GGTACATCTGCAATTGTCGGAAGGCAAAAAAATAAATATATATATATATTAAACAGAGTAGGCCTATGTCAATGTTGCTTCCGGCAATACATCATGATCAGAAGATAAAGATGGCGCTCGCACTTAAGAACTTGGCAGTCAAGAAATGCGGCCTCGAAAAAAATCAAAATCAAGAAAATTCACCACATAGTAACAATAAATAAATAAATAAATAAATAATTAAATAGATAACAACACGTGCCGTACGTGCTCAGGCCCGACGTGGTGATCAGGACAAGACCGAACCCGCCTTTCTTTGTGGTGTAAAAACAGAGGCCCCAAAACGCGACAGCTGCAAGAAAAGCACTCACGAAGGGGTGAGGGGTAACTCGCGGGGTGACCGGTCGGCAGTTAGTTGCAGATCAGCGGCGAGGAGGAGGTTCCTTTGAAAATAGTGCTGGTGCGGAGATGGGGGGGGTGTACTGTTTTTATTTTTTTTGCGCGTCTTACGGTGGTAGTCAACTGTAAAACCGGGCTTACAAATGCCGGAATTCTTGAATCTTTTTGTTTTTTTTGCCGCGAATGTCCAAAAACTCGGTGTGTCGTGTACTCTGTGGACACCGGCTGGAACATAGTTTTCGTCGCAAGGCATGAACATTCTCGGGCTTGGACAACCTCGCCTGCAACCAAGCACAGATAGATACAAAAAAGTGTCCCTTAACTGGGTGTGGGCCGGCGTTTCCGAACCCTGCCTGACCTTGGAGGTTGGCAACGGTGCGCCCGACCGGGTTACGCAGGTTGTACAACGCCTAGGGGTTACAGGTTTAACCCCCCCGTAACCGTGTCCACTGGCCACCTGTGGAGAGGAGGCGAGGCGGACGGGGCCAAGACCGTTGAGAGAGAAACAAAAAAGGTAAAGGCTATAGTCTACTCCTATTTCAAGGAAAATAATACACGCACAGAAAGACTAGAAGACTAGAGATATACCCACAGTCGAACGGGATGTGGTGGAGTCTTTTCAGTGAGTGGAGGAAAACCGGCTGGGTACTGGACTTCTTTCGAGTCATTTTAAGTCTAGTCTCCAGTTGGCGCCCGCAGTTAAGAAATATTTTGTTAAGTAATTGAGGCTCACTTTTTCACGAAAAATAAGAAAATAGGGTTAAGAAACATAGTTAGCTCAATCTGGGTCACACAATAAGAAAAATAAAAATAAAAATAAGAAATGTCTCAATAAGAAACAAAGCGGCGACCGCTGCCCTACTCCATAAGAAACGAGGATTTACGGGGGAGTGTGTCGAATATGAAACAAACCCCACAGCTCTCTCGCTCTTTCCCCCTCTCCCCCGACCCCCCCTCCCATAGTGCATTATTGCACAGGTGGCCAGTGGGCACGGTTGTACGGGGGCGTTGTGAAACCTCCNTTAGCTCAATCTGGGTCACACAATAAGAAAAATAAAAATAAAAATAAGAAATGTCTCAATAAGAAACAAAGCGGCGACCGCTGCCCTACTCCATAAGAAACGAGGATTTACGGGGGAGTGTGTCGAATATGAAACAAACCCCACAGCTCTCTCGCTCTTTCCCCCTCTCCCCCGACCCCCCCTCCCATAGTGCATTATTGCACAGGTGGCCAGTGGGCACGGTTGTACGGGGGCGTTGTGAAACCTCCGGCCAACGAGGGGTTATTAAATGGGATAACGTGGGGGGGTTACAGGTCGAGCGGGCATAACGTGCCGGGTTATGAAAGTAGTCAAGCGCGGATTGGTGTGAAGGAGGAAAAAGAAAAAAATACGTGTGGGCCTTCCCCTCCCTTGCAATATATATATTAATGTTGCACTCTACAAGTACTCTGGGTTGGGTTACGCGATACCTCGGATATATATTCATAACAACTAGTCTATACTCTCTTTGCAGATTGATCGGTGGAGAAAACATAGCGCGGGGTGTATCGATCCAACACCTAATAATATCTGCCGAATCAGGCGGGTGACCGCTACGTTACATACATGTTGAAGCATATCTAACAATGGAGGCAACACCACCCACCCCCGCGGCCGATAAGAAGAGCACACTTACTTACCCTCTGCCGTTCCCCCCACGTACAAAGCGGAAGCTCCGAGTAATTAATGTCTTCCACTACCAAATATTATTATTATTATTTCGATCCGACATTGAAGATGTTAGCACTAAAGTCCTAAAACGTTTCACTCAATGTATACCCCTTACTATTTCTATCTTCTTCATGCTCATACTTGTACGAATACGATATTGTACATGCACGTCATGTTAGTACGTACCTACCAATGCCGAACTTAAAACTGAGGGAAATCATAACACTATTGATTGAATTCAACATTTCCTCCGTTCTCCTGTTACTTCCTTTGTGAAAATGCCAAAACCTTGTCTCTCCAAAACTCTGACAAGAAGTTACTTACTGTCGTTGACCCGAAATCTTGTGAACATAATCTACTGCTAAAACGACATTTCTTTTAGTATACGTGATGTACCTACCAAATTCTTTGTAACAACTTTACCTACGCTCATAAGATAATCCATCACATACATTCCTATTATTATTACAGTGCACCAACACACATCCCAAATCATTGGTGTTGATGTGTTCGGTGTCGATCTTGTTCGTTGGTCCTCCGCTTCTTGTCGTCCACGTAGTGCGAGCTTGTATCTTTGTACCCTCCTTGATATGGCCACCTGCGTAGCCACCGAAACGACCTGAAGTAGCCTCTCCTTGTAGACTCCTTTCTGGGTCAAACAGGGTTTTCGCCTGATTGAGAGCGGAGTATACGATTGAGAGCGGGAGCCAAAAAAAATGAAATTTCGGGTCCAGACGCCTCTTGCCATTTCTTGGGAAGTAGGGGGCGGGCTCTTCCAAGAAGCGGCGCAAATTGAAGGTCTCATCAGCAGCGTCACGAGCATATGCGTGTCATCGCGATCGGATGCTGCAGCTAGGAGCTAGATAAGTTGCTAGATTTCCCCAGATTGGCTTTTCCTGCCTCAAACTGTTTCAGGGCGATTCGATCGCGGGCGGTGAGCTCTGCTGTAGATTCTGCTCCCCGCTGTAGCTCCACAACGAGAGACGCCCACAGGATGACCAGGGTATCGGCTTGTAGCTACGGGCTAGGCCTTCAATTCAAGTCACGCAGCAAGCTCCACCTCTCAGCGGTAGTCCAGCGACAGCGCATCGCGCAATCTCGCTCTCAATCAGAAACTTCGCTCTCAATCACACGAAAACCTTTTTGTCATCGTTCCTCCATGCCTCCCTCCTGCAGCGTGCGTCGCTAGTTCGTCGATGAATTCGTAACCCTCCTCTCCAAGGCGGCCAATGACCAATCGTTCAATGGCAAGTTTTCGGTCAGCTACGTTTCAATGTTCCACAGCAGCAACAACATAATAATACATATTATACGAAGTATGTGGGCACCACATGTCAGTATATTAGGCTTGGGGCACCTTCACACGCGTAGGGCAAACACCCTTTTGAATGTGGCGTCAGCGGCAGGTTGACATCCCTGAGGTGTCAAAGACCTGGGTTCGAATCCGGGCACGTGGAATTGGGTGTCTTTTTGTCCGCCGCCAGCCGGTCGGGTTCCGGTTACCGTACATGCTACGGGGGGTGCGTCGTGGTACCCGCGTATGTCTACGATGCTGAGCTGTCCGCTCGCTCGTATCCGGGGGGGTATGTGGGCACCACATGCCAGTATATATATATGGCTTGGGGCAACTTATCTCGTGTCGGGCAAACACCCTTTTTACAAGTATAGAATTATTGAATGCTGAGCGCGCAATTATTTTCAGCAGAGATTATGTTATTATGTAATGATACTATATTGTTATGGAGGTACTGTAGACCACTCAGCCACTCGGTAAAATGTTATCCGTTTACCTGGCTGAGATACGACCTTATAACACTCTCTAGCACTGATACCTAGCGGGAAGTAATCCCCAGGACCACCAACAACGTAGGGTCGCCGACTTTCTTCAGACGGTAGTAGTGATGTTTCTTCCGCTAGGATTTTTACATGCGAGGGTGTTTTCTGCTCTCACGCATAAGTTCTTTCTCTTTTTTCTTTTCGAATCAGAAACAGAGATAGTGCACAAGTCGGGATTCGAACTCCCGACATGTCCCAGACCACGCCACATGTATGTCAAGTAGGTAGTCCACTCAGCCACCCGGTAAGAGGTTAACCGTTTACCTGGCTGAGGCAGGACCTTACAACAACATTCGACCACTATTTATTGCCTTTTTTTTTCAAGGAGACAGACAGACAGACGTAGGTACGTAGGTACGTACGTACGTAGGTACGTACGTACGTGTTATCGTATTGACTTTTACGGAGAGAGGCAGCGTATGTATATAGTGTATCATCGCCCACTCTCTCTCTCTCATTCTTTTTCTCAGTCTTGGCTTTGCCCCCGATCGTTGCCGTGCGTGTTTCTACGCAAAAAATATATATATCAAATAGAGTAGGCCCACGTCTAGGCTGCTTTCGGCACTTCATCATGATCAGAAGATAAAGATGGCGCTCGCACTAAAGAACTTGGCAGTTAAGAATGCGGCCTCGAAAAAAAATCATATTAACGAAATAGAACACATAATAATAATGGGTAAGATGTTATCATGAACGGAGATGAAAGGGCTTTTCCAACACGGAGATGTGGCATGGATCAAAGCATTTGTTGGATTTCAGCTTTTACAAGCGGACATCAACGCAGTAGTATTTTAGCAAGCTTACGAACGCATATAGGATACCATCAGGATTGTCATTGGTAAGTTGAAGAGGAGATACTTTTACGATGTAAATGACAGTAGAAATAAGTCCTACATATGTTGTTTTATTTATTTTTGCCTTCCGACAATTGCAGATGTACCTCAGAAAACTTTCACTTAATGTCTCATACTCTACATGAATATTAAACCAATACGAAGTACAACAACATATGTAGGACTTATTTCTACTGTCATTTACATCGTAAAAGTATCTCCTCTTCAACTTACCAATGACAATCCTGATGGTATCCTATATGCGTTCGTAAGCTTGCTAAAATACTACTGCGTTGATGTCCGCTTGTAAAAGCTGAAATCCAACAAATGCTTTGATCCATGCTACATCTCCGTGTTGGAAAAGCCCTTTCATCTCCGTTCATGATAACATCTTACCCTATTCTACGCAAATCTGTCACATCTACTCTCAAACAAGACGTCAACTTCAAACGAAAACGCGTTCTACGATGCGTCTACACTCCATCCCCATATCATTGGCGTTGACTGGTCCGAGGTCGATCTTGTTCGCCTGTTTTCGGCGNTCTGAGGTACATCTGCAATTGTCGGAAGGCAAAAATAACTAAATAAAAAATAATAGCAACACACGTGCGTGCGTACTCAGGCCCGACGTGGTGTTCAGAACAAGAACGAACCCACCCGCCTTTCTTTCTTTGTGGTGTAAGAACAGTAGAGCCCCCAAAACGCAACAGCTGCAAGATAATATTAGCACTCACCAAGGGGTGAGGGGCTACTCGCGGGGCGACCGGTGGGCAATTAGTTGCAGATCAGCGGCGAGGAGGAGGTTCCTTTGAAAATAGTACTGGTGGTGCGGAGATGGGGGGGGTGTACTGGTTTCATTTATTTTTGAGCGTCGAACGCGGTAGTCAACTTAAAAAAAATCGGGCATACAAATGCCAGCACTCTTGAAGCATTTTTTTTTTTTTTGCCGCGAATGTCCGATAAACCGATAAATCGGTGTGTCGTGTGCTCTGTGGACACCGGCTGGTACATAGCTTTCGCGGGAAGGCATGGACAGGCTTGGACCACCTCGCCTGCAACCAAGCATAGATGATAGATGCAAATGTCCCATAACGGGTTTGGGCAGGCGTTCCGGAACCCTGCCTGACCTTGGAGGTTGGCAACGGTGCGTCCGCCCGGGTTACGCAGGTTGCACAACGCCTAGGGGTTACAGGTCACTTCAACCCCCCCGTCACCATGCCCACTGGCCACCTGTGTATTATTAGTTTTTTTTTTTTTTGCCTTCCGACAATTGCAGATGTACCTCAGAAANCTACAACATATGTAGGACTTATTTCAACTGTCATTTACGTCGTAAAAATATCTCCTCTTCAACTTGAAATAAAACCAATGACAATCCTGATGGTATCCTATATGCGTTCGTAAGCTTGCTAAAATACTACTGCGTTGATGTCCGCTTGTAAAAGCTGAAATCCAACAAATGCTTTGATCCATGCTACATCTCCGTGTTGGAAAAGCCCTTTCATCTCCGTTCATGATAACATCTTACCCTATTCTACGCAAATCTGTCACATCTACTCTCAAACAAGACGCCAACTTCAAACGAAAACGCGTTCTACGATGCGTCTACACTCCATCCCCATATCATTGGCGTTGACTGGTCCGAGGTCGATCNTATTAGTTGTACGACGAGGGGGCAGCGTTTTTTTTTGCGGCGCCCCCTCCGACCCTGCGGGCTCTGCCACGCTCTCTGCTGGCGCTAAAGCTTTGGCACAGCACACTAGACAGGCTGCGAACCACGACATGCTGTCTGCTGTACACGGCTTTGATGGTTCTCTCCGCCAGCTCTCGTGAGGGCTTGACCAAGCTGGTATTGTCAGAGATCAACAAGAACTAACTGTCGACGAGCCAGCTCGGGCACATCAAGAAGCACCTTCTAAACAACGAGCCTCTGTCTCACGATTTCTGGAAAGTCATTGAAGAGCTGCGGAGTTTGAGGCCTTCCGCTCGCAGCATCTCAACGAACATGTGGCGTCCCACCTCAAGAAAAAGACCCCGGTGCCAACCCACCCTGAATCGGCTGCTGGTTCAAGCGCAAAGCAGTTTGTATGGCAGAAGCGAAAGGCATCATCGTCTTCAAGAGCATCAGCCAAGAAAAAGGGGAGGGCAGCATCCAACCTGCCGGCAGAGACCCACAACATCATCAATGGCTTCGCTAAAGGCAGTGGCAAACCGGTGCGTAGAATATGTTTGTGTGTGCCTACGAGAGGGTCTCGCGCGATACTTGAAAATATATTCAGCGACACCGANATTGTCAGAGATCAACAAGAACTAACTGTCGACGAGCCAGCTCGGGCACATCAAGAAGCACCTTCTAAACAACGAGCCTCTGTCTCACGATTTCTGGAAAGTCATTGAAGAGCTGCGGAGTTTGAGGCCTTCCGCTCGCAGCATCTCAACGAACATGTGGCGTCCCACCTCAAGAAAAAGACCCCGGTGCCAACCCACCCTGAATCGGCTGCTGGTTCAAGCGCAAAGCAGTTTGTATGGCAGAAGCGAAAGGCATCATCGTCTTCAAGAGCATCAGCCAAGAAAAAGGGGAGGGCAGCATCCAACCTGCCGGCAGAGACCCACAACATCATCAATGGCTTCGCTAAAGGCAGTGGCAAACCGGTGCGTAGAATATGTTTGTGTGTGCCTACGAGAGGGTCTCGCGCGATACTTGAAAATATATTCAGCGACACCGAGATGCGGACAGACCAGTTTTTTTTTTTCTGATGTTTTTTTGCTTTCTTTTGGTGTCCAAAATACATTTGCGTCTACATGTTTGTATTGTAGGCATCGAATGCTCTGTGTTGTGTCTCTTTCGGTTTGCGTGAGTTCTTCTGCTATATTTATTTATTTTTGCCTTCCGACAATTGCAGATGTACCTCAGAAAACTTTCACTTAATGTCTCATACTCTACATGAATATTTGACCAATAAGAAGTACAACATCATGTAGGACTTATTTCTACTGTCATTTACATCGTAAAAGTATCTCCTCTTCAACTTACCAATGACAATCCTGATGGTATCCTATATGCGTTCGTAAGCTTGCTAAAATACTACTGCGTTGATGTCCGCTTGTAAAAGCTGAAATCCAACAAATGCTTTGATCCATGCTACATCTCCGTGTTGGAAAAGCCCTTTCATCTCCGTTCATGATAACATCTTACCCTATTCTACGCAAATCTGTCACATCTACTCTCAAACAAGNTCCCTTCGACAGGTCCTTGCGTGCACCGTTGTGATGATCTCGCCTTCCCTGCCTCTGTGGCACCTGGGACATCTTTCCGCCAAGAATTCTTCAACTCCCAAGGCGCGTCTCGTCGCGTAGACGAATTCGTTCGATGGAATCTCTCGAGCTCGGTCGGTGGGAGCCGCTCTCAGGAACGTGCGGCCCCGTTGCCCTTGCGAACATCTCGTTCGTGCGTATGCCATGTTCCTGGCCTCTTGACCTCCGTAGGGGCTGTCCCGCGTGGGTGGTACCGCCTCCTGGGGGAGGTGCTCCAGAGACTCCATGAACTTTTCAAGTTGTATCTTGTTAATCGCCTTGCCCAGTTTGTGCTGGGCTTTCCTCGGCGTAGTAGATTCCCCATCGTGTGCTGCCAGTTCTGCAACGGTGGGCTGACGCCTTCCGGTTTCTCCTGTCGGTTCTAAGGCCCACTCAACCCATGACGGGGGAAGGATCCCCTTCAGAATCTCCACCGATACTCCATGCTCCTGGTTGAGTTCTTTGATAGCGTCCCCCATCCGCTCCACCAACACGGTTCCCGGTATCCGAACTCTCACCGACTCTCCCAATGGACCCCGTAACGCGGCTATAACCGCAGGAAGGGTGCTGACTAGGTTACCCAGAGAAGCTGAGAACCTTCGCATAACGGCTGCTGGTAATCCTAGTCGTCCGGCTCCGGTCGACAGGCGCGCCTAGGCTTGTTGATAGGGCTTTAACTTGAAGCGGTCNCGGAAGGGTGCTGACTAGGTTACCCAGAGAAGCTGAGAACCTTCGCATAACGGCTGCTGGTAATCCTAGTCCTCCGGCTCCTGTCGACAGGCGCGCCTGGGCTTGTTGATAGGGCTTTAACTTGAAGCGGTCAGGCTGGCAGTCGTCTTGGAAGAACTCTTCTTCGTCTTCGGTATCTCTGAGCCCCATCGTTGCCTCTAGGACCCACATCACCATATTGTCCAGGCGTTCACAAGCCCCTCTCACTAGCTTATGATTGATGCCTCTCTCGATATATCCGGATCGCTGTGTCAGCGATTGTGATATGACGAAGTGCGCCTCCTGTTTGTCTGGCATGCGCACGAGCATGCGAGCAAGCTTGTCTGCACCCCCTTCAGTTATCGCTTTCATTGCGAAATCCTCGACGTAGGCATCCGTCCCAATGGGGACTCCCACAACTGTGATGCCCTCCTCCGCAATCGGTAGGCCTGCATCGCCAAGTAGCCTCCTTTCTGCTGGCGTCACGTCTTGCCCTGGTGGGGGAAGCGCTGAGCTCTTCCCCCTGTTGACGATTATGCCCACTGCTTCTAGTTCGTCGACGAGGTCCGGTATCACCTGAATATTTTCCGCTGTGATATTTTTGAAGGCTGACGTCGTCCATATAAGCTTTCAAGCTTACCCCGAGGTGGTCGTACTTGGATCCAAGCTTCAAGACGATCGGGACTAGGATGAAGCAGAACAGGGGCGGTCCCATTCCATCTCCTTGCTGCACACCGCTCTTGCACTCGATCGTCCGACGCTCTCCGGAGTCCATCGTGTATATCGCCTTTGCCGGGATTTCGTCGTAACACCTGGAGATGTACCCCACGAGATCTGGGACGCTCTTTGCGGCCTGAGCCATTACGGCGGTGCGCTTGCCCGTGTTGAAGGCATTTGAGCAATCCGTCTGGACCACCCAATGACCTGTTTGATGAACCAGTTGTGCGTCCATGCAACTTATTCAACTCCTCCAGCTACCGCCACTCCGAATTGGTCCGCTTCCCGAAATATTTCTTTCAGTTTCGGTTTCCACTCCCTGACCGTTCCCGCCGCAATCAGCCTTCCTTCTCCAAGCAATTCCAATGCACACTGACTGGACGGCACTTTTCACCGAGGGCGATTAGACTGGATTGTTTCCAAAGGGTCCAGAACTCCGGTGGGAACGCGTTGGGATCGTTGATGAGCCTCCTCCAAAGGGACGACATCGCGTTGCTGAACTCTTCCCGACCAATTTTAGTGTTGACGATGGACTTAAGGTGGGAGAAACGTTGCCCGTCATTTCCTGCTCCAGAGTTAGAGCTTCTGCTGTTGATGACTTGAAGGAGTACTTGTGGATCGAACTCGGTTTCTGGCCTCCATCTCGGGGCGCTTCCTTCCTCCTCCTCGGTGCGGCTTGCAGCTATGGCTTCGGCGATGGCCTGCTCCACTTGTACGGGATCCTCATGCGGAAATTCGGCTTTCAGACGTGCCCATGTCTCGTCGTTCCCCGGTGACGGTTGATCGGCTAGGAGCGCTCTTGCTAGTCAGTTAGACGCGCCTACCAGCCGACAATCAATCAATCAATCAATCAATCAATCATCAGTCAATCAATGCTAATTATGAAACCGTTGGTCGCATTTGATATCACACTCAACTCCCTAAATCGATTTTCAAGGCTCTTCTTACGATTACTCCACGACGAAGAAGATGCCGACTTCAAGGGATATGTTTTCGGAAAGCTCCGCAGGAGACGCGGTTCCGATGCCGCCATGTTCGGCACCGTCATTGCTTTTTCTTCCTGCCGAGAAATAAATCGAGCTTCGGAAACCGGTCCAGGGGATGTGATACCTTTACATTGTTGTTGTTGTTGTTGTTGTTGTTGTTGTTGTTGTTGTTGTTGTTGTTGTTGTTGTTGTTTTTCTTCACATTACACTCGTGTCAGTTGCTAATCCCAAAATCTAGCAAAGACAGACTCGGTCCGTGGTCACAAAAATGCTAGATAGAGCCATCAGAAGATCTAAAGGACACACACACACTACTAGAAAGAAAAGGGTACACAAGCCCGAGGAGGTACACCTGCAATCCCTGCAGCACGTTTGCGTGCTCACAACTGAACGACACGCCCACACACTAGGGGCGTAGTGCCTGGTGCTGTACATTATCCTTTGATTTTTTCTTTGGGCGGGTGTAGGAAGCGTCCTCCCTTATTTTATTTTATTTTTATTATGATCGGTTTCCGAGGGCTCTGATCTCGAACGGTCGGTGCGATACCTGTTCTTTTCTTTCCATGATTTTGTTTTCTTCTTCCGAGTGGTTTGTACCCTATGTTTGTTTTGTTTCCCCGCGGCGTCTTATGTGCCGGGTTTTGAGACCACGGGCGCCCCATTTTTTGTGGACTATAGAGCTAATGTGAGAAACAACAACAACAAACAACGACACTACAATTCGACTATAGCAGCATCATCACCCCCCTTGTCCCGCATTAACCGAAATGAATGTTTCTCGACTACTACAGCGTACTGCTGTCTGAAGTGCTGTCTGTACACTAATAACACCATGGTGCAAGGTAAATAAGCTCGGGGCATGCAGCTGCTGTCTGAAGTGCTGTCAGAATGAGTCCGTGGACATACAATGAAGAACACCCAACCAAAGCCATCATTGCAATTGACAATCACCCGAATCTATCCAGATCATCTGTGTTAGGCACAGCAGTTTAAACATTGACACTGACTAGGAATCGTTCCACATTGAAGGGGTCTTCCACGATGCAGGGTTAAAAGCACCCGGGTCATCCGCGCCATCTCTGCCGCGTCTCTCTACAAAAAAACCAGTGACGTCATCACACACACCCAGGCACCTATATCCAGGAAAAAAACGGGAAAATATTTGCCATCTCTGCCGCGTCTCTCTACAAAACCAGTGACGTCATCACACACACCCAACACCTGTATTCTGGAAAAAAACGGAAAAATAATTGATAACACAAAAGATGTTTGTCCGTGCGCCACGGTTCGATGCCATCCGCATCCTCTGGTTCCGCTGCTCCGGTTCCGCTGCTCCGGTGCCGCTGTGGCCAGTCCTAGCACGACCAAACTCGACCCGCTCCGCTTCGTACACGCTCTCGTTGCTGTCCTTCCCAGTCGGTTCCTCGCTTTCTCCCTCGTTGCACTCAGGGTTCTTGGCCTGAAAATTCTCGCGCCGAAGGGGCAACCAGCCCAATTACCTCGTCACCACCTGTCCCCTCCTCCTTTGATGGCAAAACCAGGGTACTGAGACAGTACAGCTCCCTCTAGCAACCCTAGGGCCGTGTACATCGTGCCCGTCCACCGTACACTACAACGTATGGTAAGAGATCAGTCACCAGTTCATACAGCGGGGAGATGAAAAACAAACGCGAACTATCTATCTATATGGATTGACAAGATATAGACTATATAGATCTATATAAATATGGTTTCCGCCCGCACCGGTCGACGCTCGACATGCTGTTCGCCATCCAGCGGCTCTATGATGAGCTCGCGAGGAAGAAGAGTACCGCGGTGTTCGCGTGCTTCGTCGACCTCACCAAGGCATACGATTCGGTAGACCGAGACCTACNATGAAAAACAAACGCGAACTATCTATCTATATGGATTGACAAGATATAGACTATATAGATCTATATAAATATGGTTTCCGCCCGCACCGGTCGACGCTCGACATGCTGTTCGCCATCCAGCGGCTCTATGATGAGCTCGCGAGGAAGAAGAGTACCGCGGTGTTCGCGTGCTTCGTCGACCTCACCAAGGCATACGATTCGGT